TATCCCACCAACAGGGCACCGCCCCATCCGTAAGGCTCTGAACTTCCATCTGGTGTCCCGACTAGCAATGTAGTGCATGTAACTGTATGTGTTAATAAAGATGGATAGGATGGGGAAGAGGAAGGAAATATCGCATTCAGTCCGTGACCCCTTTGTTACAGTACCGCTTCGGCATTCGACTGCTGATGGTCGGAGAAAACACGTAGTGGCTCCAATTCTCCTGACGGCGGCTGAATTGGACCTAGCTGTGGAACTAGTGTTAAAAGGCCTACCACTGACGGAACAGGGACTCTAGGAGCTCCCGGTGAGCCACCGCTGGCGGCGTCAAGCCAGGTCTCGGCCACCTGCTGGCTCGCGCCGTCGTGTCGCCGTCGCCGTCGCCGTCGCCTTGCGCGGAGGCTGGGCTCCAGATGGCAGACGCTCTCCCGCGGCCCTCGACGCCTCCGCCCCGGCTGCTGCCACCCCGCTCACACCTTCGCTCCCGTTATGTTGAGAGAGCGAGATGGTGTTCGAGGCAACACAACAGAGTGTGTGGATACGGAACGTAGAACCATTTACATAATCTGATGAGATTCTTAATACTGATTATTGAACTAATTAGAAAACTATTTTGAAAAATGAACAGGAAATAATTAGTTTTAAAATGGATTTTAGTTCATAATTTTGGGAGGTGTAGAGTTGGAATTTAATTTTTCTCCTCTGGAAAGAGAACTCTCCTCAATGGGAGAGAAAAGGCATGCTTATCTTAATTAAAAACAAGTCTATAAGTATAATTATCTTAATTATAAACAACCCAATAAGTACGATTAAACCAAACCAAACAACCAATATGTATACTGATCTTTATTAAAAACCAGTCGATGATTGCCTACAGCCTGCCTATTGCCTTGCAGTGGCCTTGCAATGGCAGTGGTATCCTCGGATACTGTTCCAATGTAAAATTATCTCAAAATTATTGTCAAAAGTGAAATTATAAATAATTAATATGAAGTGTGGAATAATACTGACGACAACTGTAAAATGAAGCGCGACAAATGTGATTTCAACAGCGTTTTTACAACAGTCACCTTTTTGTGGGGTTGTGTTCTTTTCTCAAGCCTAGAGTTGTTCTAAAGTAAATTTAGATTTTTCTAAGGAATAGTTCCCTTCTAGCACGCTATCAGCGAATGCTTTAGCCAAATTAACATAAATATTTCATAGAATGTTTAAATAATGGAGTGTTAAATCAAATATATACTTAAATTTTCTTCAATCCAGTGACAGCTTACGCCATGTTTCCAACCTAAACAACAAGAAAATTTATTTTCTTTATTTTCCTATTTATTTCCCGAGTGCGATGTAGTGGATGCGATGTGTCAGCGACGGCCATTGGTTTCCTCCTGCACCAGTTACAGTACGTTCTCACCCATCACAGGCTTCGGCTTTCTTCACTTCAATAGCATTTCACTTGTCGTCGCAACATTACACGATAAAGTGCACATCAAGTTTCTCTGTAGGTAATTTTTCGTACACAACCAGAACCAGTATTATGATTTTGTGATGGCAGCTACGAAACCACTTAATATTATGGAACAAACGCATAATGATATTGTGTTACATATACATACAAAAGAATATCTTCTGCTACCCACATCCCCCATCTCGCATTTCGGAGGAGTCGTGAATAATGTCGCCCGTTCATCTGACACCAACAATAAGACCGAATCACCTCGTACTTTTTCGTTCGCTGACTCCGTAAAAGGGTTGAACAAAAAAAAAAATGGTTGGTGTGACCAAGTTCAAGAATCTAATTTGAAAACGACAACTGGTGTATTCTAACATATCCATAACTGCAATGACATTTTGTTTTATTATTTAAGGACGCAACAACATCTACGTCATTAGCGACCACTACTACATTTAACGGCACGGTAGCTATGAAAATGACATGGTACGGTGATGATAGGGTGGAAAGGACGAACACGATTACAGCCACACCCAAGGCGATATTCGAACCCGCAATCCCCCGGTCCGAGATCACTACGACACTACTGCCTGAACGACCTCGGTCATCGGGACCACAATGATACTATCTTTATCATTATAATCGGTATTGTATTCTTTCAAGGGTTCAGTGAGAGACAATCATAAGGCACAAACTTTAGTTTCCCAACTGAGCATTCTGCCATCCCTTTGCGCATTTCCCTTCTAGCGATTCTGTAATCTTCTCTGATTCCGCTTTTCTCGTCCGATGACAGAAGCTGCCGGATTGTCTTCGCCCAGCACTGATTTACAGGAGTCCGCCAAAGACTAGAAAAGGTTTTCTAAAAAATTATATTTTATTTTACAAATTGCTGTGATAGACCATTACGTGGAAGTTATTTTATTATTAACGCGCGCGTTACTGCGAGTGTACAATTACAAAGAAGCACACAATTGTCTTGTAGCCACCCATAATATTCCACATTTAACCTTATCTGATCACCTTTGCAATATTTTGAGCTTATTATCTCCAGCAAATACGGGTAAAGATAAATGGTATTATATTGATTTGGGTGGTACAGTAGATGCCTTGTGTTGACAATACGTGTCTGTTGTGGGAAAATGGAAGATATTCCTTAAAGTATTGAAATTTCCAAGAAAAAGAAACGGAGGAGAGAAAGAAATATTAAGAACGTATGCACCGAAGTTATGTTTGCATCAAAAAAAGTACCAATACTTAACGCAGTTTCGCAGGAATGTGTACGAAGTGTGCATTATACTTTGTTATTTGATAAGTATGTTCAGTAAATGTGTTATTTTTATTAATAAATTATTAAATATAAGTGTGTTTCTATGTTTATACGTCATTTTGTCAATAAAATGATGTTTCTGTGTGCACCATATAGTTCAGTTCAACGGCAGCATTTTGCTGTGTGTCGTGGCAAATGATAGCTACTTTATTACAGGACAATAATAAAGAACCATTTCACAGACTTCGGACACGTAAGTTAACAGCCAACAAAGGCGATCGTATAAGATGAAATAAATTATACTGTGGTGATTCGTGATTATATCTGAGTTGTCCATTTCATAATAGCGTTTCTTTCTCTGCAATTAAAAAAAATAGCACAATTTTCATTCATTTTCGTCTCTGCAAGAGATTTTCAAGGTAGCTGGAGAACTAACTTTGTTGAACCAAACTGTATGTATTTAGTCGATGCTAAAAAATGTATCAGGAAATAAAATTAAATTTCAGTTTTGGATTTCGATTTTCTAGATGACGATTGGAAAAATCATGTCTCGAATCATATTCAACTTTTCTACTGCTGTCTCTGATCTCCAAATGTTGGTAATAAATCCGGAAATTGCTAACGAAACGTGTAGAGAGAAGTCAATGAATGCAGTGAGATTGTCGCAACAAACATTGCAACGAGGTGCCTGAACCCTCAGGAAAGTGCTCGTTCATTATGTCTCTTGCAAATGTCACATTCAGCAATAAGATCGGAATCTTGCTATTCAGAGAAGGTTGTAGAGCGTGGTTATAAAGTTAGCTATTACTCTGCAACGTCGTCGTTACGTACGGTTCTAGTATTAATTGGCATCATTCGGAATGTGCGACGACTGTTGGACAGAGGACGGACGCTTGCATTCGAAGTACAGTCACTACTCGTGGTAAGTGTTGGCATATTCTACGTGACTACGCTGTAACTCTGATCGAAACGTTCACCGTGCCAGGCAGTGGTGACAGTGGTCTGAATGTTTTCGTACATAATGTCCCAAAATAGAATTGCTTATAGTTTTTACAAGTGGATATCTAATACCTAACGGTCATTTGAATTGGGAAAATAATTTACAATCGATTATAATGATTCCTGACATTTCGAGGTCTGGATGATATTGGTTAGTGAGAACTATGCGTTATGTTGATTGACATAAATTGTACACTGCCATCATGAGAAGAAATCTGTACAAACAGAAAACATGTATATCCTACTCGTACAAACTATTTTCATACCTTCATTTCAATTTCATTTTTATGTGTATTTAGGCTTACAGAAAATGAACAATTCTCGAAAGTAGCAAGGTATCTCAAGGAATATAATTTCCGAAAAAAAACTTCTGGAATCTTCTTATTTTATTCAGCAAGAATACTTGTGCAGAACGCTGCGAAATGAAGGTATTCGCCCATTCCGACAGGCACAACTGAAGTTTGACGGGTTCTGAGAACACAAATCGTCCTCCCTCGAAGGGATGCGACGGCAAACGGCAATCGTCCTGGAGGGAAGTCGTGTGGCCAGGAGGCCCCCGGCAGAGCGGGGGCGTCGGTGTCTGCAGGTCCCACCGCTGCGGGATGTGGCTGGGGTCCCGGCCACGTGACTCCATAAACGACAGCCGCCGACGGCGAGACGAAGTCGCCTTCGCTTCTGGTCATTAATACTACGATAGTCTCTTCATTTTATAGATAGTGTCTTGTTAGTAAATTGAAATGAGGCTTGGAAACTTACCTAAAAAAAAATTCCTTCTACTTTGAAATTTTAAAGTGGGCGAAATTATCCTACAGGGAATTTTGGGACATCCCATTTTCAGAGTACGTTTTGGCGACGAATTGTAGGATTCGAAATAATACTAATAAAATATATTGGATTGGGTACTTTAATACAGTATTAACAGATGTCTCGGCAATAAATGTTTTAAACACATTGACATTGTACATTATTTACGGAGAGAACAAAATTAGAATAAAAGTGTTTTTTAAATATCAAGACGAGGAGACTAGTGCTTTCAACATTATGATTATTGTTTAAGAAGCATAAAATACACTTTTCAAAAATGATAATAATATTTGCAAGCCCGTGTCTAATCAAGCAGTCCTGAGAAAATAAATCTTCTCACTGTGAAACGTGTCCCATGGAAAACCACGCCCTTGTGTTGCACATCCTCCCCCCCCCCAAAAAAAGGAAAAGAAAGAAAAATCATGGTGTGGTTCGATGAAGCTTGATTGGAATTTCGTAAAACAAGGAATGTAGCTCGAGACTCACCCCTTGCGTAGATCTGCAGGGAGATCACCGCCTTGGCCTCGCCATGGCAGTTGCGTGCGATGACGGAGTAGGCGCCGGTGTAGTCGAGCTTGGCCCGTGGGATCTCCAGGCGGTAGGCCGGCCCCGCCCCTACGCGCCGGAACTGCGGCGCGTCGCGGTAGTAGTCGGGCTGCAACACAGGACGCGCTCTTTTAGGCGCTTGCGCCTCATCCCACGTTCGACTGCTCAATGCAATGGAAGTGAGAGGCGATGGTCGTCAGTCTAAAGACAACTCGAGGGTTGAGCATGAAATTCGTACAAAGCGAATTATAGAAATATAATAATTATATTCAATTCATTATTGAACCCATTATTTCGAAAAGGTCACATATCTAGTCTCTGACTTCAGTATTAGAATCCGAAGATGCAGTTAGCGTTGTCACACGTAAAAACGCGGTATCGGTCGTTCGTTAATACAATTTAAGCAGATGGGGTTCTGTTTCCCTCGAATAGGCCACTTCTTCGGAGATGGGTTTTCCCACAACGTGCGCTCACCGACCAGCTGAAGGAGGGAAGGCCTTTCTGAAATAACCGATTGAATTAATATTAAATACCTGATGGAGTGGATCAGTTGACGGCACTAGGGCTTTTCCACACTCGTCGTTCAGGGTATTCAAAAATAAGAAAATGAGATACATAAATAACAATAGATGGAAGCTACATAATTTCCTAATGGCCCTAATTAATGGTATAAATGCACTAAAGCAACATTACAATGAAAACAAATCTTAAATTTAAAAACTGAGAAAATGGGGAAAACGCCACATTTTACATATTATATGAACAGAAGGCGGAACCAAACGTCTCTCAAGGAAGGTTAATATGCAATAGAGCCCACATTAAATATGGGGATACATAATATACTAGTTGAAGCATGGCTCGTACATGAAGCATCAGCCAATTACACATATCATTAAACGTTATGACACTCATGGAATACGAAAGCAGACATGTTCTAAGATGAAGGGGATGAAATTACTATTGCGAACAATGTTTTCTTCATCAACGACACAGTGATGAATTGTGAGCAAGCATGAAGCTCCTGCATCACGACCGAATGCAGCACCCACGCCCCGAGACTCCTTTTGCGAGCCACGCCTCTCGCCCATCGCACCACCCGAACGAGTCAAGGTGCAAATGATGTATGGTAGGTACAAATAAGAGTTATCTGGTGTTCCTGCTTAGAATTCCTTTGAGGAAACGATGGCGATAATTGGCTGATAAACAATTAATTATTAGATATTCAAACCAGTATTAGATGACAGTAAATAAAGAGTTTGTATTTATTGCGCCTCCTTTTTACTTTTCTCTTTCAAGGACTCGAAGGTGCATTGTTACTAAGAGCTTTTAGGCTACCCTTAGGTCGAGATTGGCTTTCTTATCTGAATATTAAGTTTCGACTAATATACTGCTAAGTTAGAAGGCAGTGGGGGGAATGGGTGAGAGAGATAGTGGGAGAGGGTGGAGAGAGACCAGGGAGAAAATATGTCTAGAAGTTACGAATATTTTAATAGGTCTTTTGGGAATCTTGATTTAATGTAGGGTCTGTTGTTGTTTCTACGTTAAATATTGTAGAACAGGGCGAGTTCGGTAAGTTGTGGAAGAAATTGTTGGCCAGATGTTTTACTGTCGTCTTGCATTCTCATAATTCATTCCCTTTGGATTTGTTGATTCTGTAAAAACCGTGATACATTTCGTGTTGACCTGAGTTATTTATTTTGGACTGTGATTAGCTTCTTGATAGTGTTTAATGCTTCCCTCCCCATAATGAGCATAAAGTAGCCTGCAATCTAACCTGAACAGTGAACGACAATTCATATTTGGTGCTAATTTGAAGGTTTTAATTTTAATTTAGTTTATGACTGCATTTACTTGGTAAGACTTTTGCCAAAGAGTACTCCTAAATACTTAATCGAGGAGGGAAATAAACTTATGAATGAGAAGACCAAAGATACCTACCTAAATCGCTGTGAGACAGCGTGCACCAACCCAATTCCATTGCGAAATTTATTGGTTCGTCATGGAATACGTTATAGTTTCACGACTTTTGAACAGATTGTTGGATTTGCCGTATTAAGGCAGAGCTGATCACTACAATTAGTATCTGATATTTTTATATTTGTAAATTTCATTTAAAAGATAGTCAATATACCACAATTGTTACATATAAGCTCCTATAGTAGCGAAGTCAGGCTCGGGATTTGCAAACCAACAACTGTATGCAAACAAGTCAATGTCACATATCAAATGTAGTGTTCCAATTGAAATATAGGAAGAGTTGTTAAAATAAGCTGAAAAAGCTGGATGAACCGGGAACATTATCCTTAATTCTGCACCTAATTAATCCAACAGTTCCTCTTTGACGACCTCGTGGCCAGCAGCTCGGCTGTGTTGGTGCATCTGGCCGCGCCTCGTCGCCAACCGAACAGCGCTGCCGGGCGCACCGCGCTGGTGGCCACCTCCAGAACGCGCAGTGATCGCAGTGAGGCTGAAGGCGTGGAAATTCCAGCAAGTGCACTCATGACACGGGTTAAAGACCTAAGGAAATGAAGCATCGGCCCAAAGAAGCCCAATGCCCGGAGATAAAACACGAAGGTAGATGCAACAAGTGGCAAAGATCAACAGTTGAGAAATAATATTAGTACACGGGACGTATATCAGATAATCATGATTTGAGAAAATCACATTAATAATATTTACATGTCGTTGAAAACCTGTTTTAATGATTTATTTTTAATACATAATGAAGATAACACTAGCACTGACATTAACAGAATTAAACCCTTTACTACGGGTGTAAGCGTTGGTTTATCCAGAACATATATTATAAAATATGTTACGCGACTTTCGGGTTTCTTAATTGGAGCTGAGACACTAGAATATTTTTCCAAACTAAATTTTTTTCCTTATCCTCAAAGTGTATTAGGTAATTTCAGAAAATTATTCTTTAATTCTTAAAATATATATTTTGTTTCCCTTTTGTTCCAAATATAACCAGTATTCGTCTAGTTGCTCTCAAGTGAAAACAGTTTTAAATTCGCATTAACTGAAGGAAACGAATGAAAAATACGTATGAGAGCTCACAAAAAAGTAAACTGCACGTAGGAGCAGAAACGTGGAAATAACCATTAACGTATTAGGTAAAAAAGAAAGACTGCTTAAGACAATTACATCACGAGTGTCTGAGTAACCGAGCGGTGGCATAGTATTATTTAAAGGCAACTGACACCAATTAAAAAGTGAAATATGCTTGTTTACCAACGACAGCGAAGTCTTCGTTCCAGTCATGAGAATATTTCATATAACTCATCTCAAAGATTCCCTAAGGGTTCCGAATCAGCTCGTTTGTAAACATGTGCAGCACGCACGCCACGTAACTTGGTGTGCTCGCTCTCAGCGACTTCACAATCCGGTTGGCGGGCGCGCTTCCAGGCCGGCGGGGCGCGGGCGGCGCGGGGCGGCGACCGCTCAGGTGAAGGGAACGGGCGGAGAGGGCTTCGGCCGCCTCGGAGGCTGCGGCCATCTGACCCGGATATGAGGCGGCGCGAGGGAGGGGGCCACGGAGGCGGCCG